ATACTAATAATACTGGATATAAATAACGTTTAAATAATTTAATCTCTGCTCTTTGTGGCCTTGTGGGTATCCACTGAACATTACACATCACCTAATGGCAGGAATTTAAAACATTTTCCTTCTAGCAAATTTGAATACTATCCATTGGTAGAAAGATAATCCTGTCTACCGTAGTGATAGGGCTTATGAAATAAACCAAACTCACTACCATCGAGTCCTTTCTGACTCATAGCAGCCCTGATTGGGATTCCAACGCTGTAAATCTTTACAGAAGTAAATCACCCCATCTTCCTTCCATGGAGCAGCTGTTGGGTTTGAACCACTGACCTTCTGGTTAGCAGTCAGTGCCTTATCCACTACACCAGCAGAGCTCCTAGTGATAGGGCTTACTCTTTGAATTTTGTTTGCTCAGTAAAATTGGTGAATTTATAGAGTCGATATCCAGGTTTAAAAGTAAGGATTTCTAAGGAAGAGAAGACCAAATTGGATGTCAGAAGAGACTCTGAAACTTGCTCTTAAAAGGAGAGTAGCTAAAGCAAATGGAAATGATGAAATAAAAAAGCTGAACAGAAGATTTCAAAGAGCAGCTTGAAAAGACAAAGTATTTGCAAAACCTGAGATTAGAAAACCAGAAGGGAAGAACATGCTTGGCATTTCTTAAGCTTAAAGAACTGAAGAAAAAATTCAAGCCTCAAATTGCAATATTGAAGGATTTTATGGACAAAATATTGAGCAATGCAGGAGGCATAAAAAGAAGATGGAAGGAATATACAGAGTCACTCTACCAAAAAGAGTTGGTTGATATTCAGCCATTTCAGGAGGTAGTATATGATCAACAATCAATGGTACTGAAGGAACTAGTGAAAAACAAAGCTCCAAAAATTGATGAATTGAGATGTTTCAACAAATAGATGCAATGCTGGAGGCACTCATATGCCAACAAATTTGGAAGACAGCTACCTGGCCAACTGAATGGAAGACATCCATATTTGTGCCTCTTCCAAAGAAAGGTAACCCAACAAATTCAAGCTACATTCAGAAGAGGATGTGGAATGAAAGATAGCATTGCTGATGTCAGATGAGTCATGGCTGAAATCAAAGAATACCAGAAAGATATTTACTTGTGTTCTATTGGCGATGTAAAGGCATTCAACTGTGTGGATCGTAACAAATAATGATAACAGTACAAAGAATGGAAATTCCAGAATACTTAATTGTGTTCATGAGGAACCTGTACATAGACCAAGAAGTAATGTTCAAACACAAGAAGGGGATACTGAAAAATAAAAAATAAATAAAAGTGAGGATTTCTGTTGCTTTCAAGGGAATTTAACTTTTGGAATGGGATCTTTTTCAAAAATGTATTTTGAATTAAATTAGAGCACATAACACAAATAATTGATGTTCTTGATAACCCAGAGTCATTATAATTATCATCATTATTTATATTAGTGTTGTGGTAAAAATAAAAGCATGCCACATAAGCTTGTGAGGCTTTTTGCTGTCACATCAATTGAGTGCACACTATTAGGTTTCATTGTTTAAAAAAAACAAAAACAATTTTATTGAGATATAGTTCATATACATCCCTTGTAAGTGTACAATTCAATGATTATAAGTAAACATATAAAGTTGTACAACCATCAGCATAATCCAGTTTTAGAACATTTCATCATCTCATGATTGTTTGCAATTAATCCCTTGTCCTACACCCAACCTGCCACTGATCTGCTTTCCATCTCTATATATTTCTATTTTCTTGACATTTCATATAAATAGAATCATATAATATGTAGTCTTTTGTATGTGGCTTCTTTCACTTAGTATGTTTTTGAAGTTCATCCATATCAGAGCATGCATGCTTCAGTATTTCATTCCTTTTTATTTCTGAATTGTATTCCATTATGTAAATAAACCACATTTTGTGCTTCATTTAGTTGTTGGATATTTTAATTATTTTCAGGTTTTGGCCATTCTACGTGTGGACATATATGTTCATTTCTTTGGGGCAGATATCTTGGAGTAGAAGTGCTGCGTCATATGACAACTTACGTTTAACTTTTTAAGAACCTGCCAAACTGTTTTCTAAGGAGCCCTGGTAGCACAATATTTAAGCACTTGGCTGCTAATTGAAAGATCAGTTGTTCTAACCCACCAGCTATTCCATGGTAGAAAAAACTTGGTAATCTGCAGTCTTAGAACCACATGGGGCAGTTTTACTCTGTTCTCTAGGATCACTATAAGTCATAATCAACTTGACAATACACGGCAACAATGAACTGTTTTCTAAAGACTACTAGATTTTTAAGTATGTATACTCTTAGATTTTTTTTTCTCTTCTTTGTTAGTTGCTGCTGTCCTTACTCCTTGTCTCACTTCACTGAATTGGCTTCTGTGTGCAAGGCAACCTGATTAACCAAGCATATGAGAATTGCTTGATACAGAGGCACTAAATGATAGCTTGAGTTTTATTATGTGTGTATTAGTTGGGAGTGTCAGATACAAGTGAGAAAACTCCAATGTGGTAGAGAATATAGGTCTACATGATTATCAGATCCTCTAGAATCTTTATGAAGTGGAAGAAGAGATAATACTTCCTTAGTAACAAAGATGCTGAGCAGTCAGAATATCAGTAGATATCTACTTCACCAGATATTTGACCCCAGTCAAGGAATTGTTTCTATAATAATTTTTATTGTTGTTTTGCATACTTTATAAAGAAATTGAATAATTCAGCATCCCAAATATCAATAAATATCACCTAGAGAGTATGTGCTATATATTCTTTTTTCATTCATGGTGTTTACAGACTAACTTTTTTTTTTTTTTTTTTTCAATTTCAGTCACTTGAAGTTATATGTAGTAGTTTGTGATTTGTCTGAGGCATTTCTTTGAGTTGCACTGCTGATGTGTGGGATCAGCTTCCTTAGGCCAGAAGCCACAATTCGGTGCTCCTGCATTCTTGTTTTAAATAGGAAATAATTCTTAACAGATATGGAGGCATCCCTCACAATTTTTTATTAAATTTTGTTATATTTCAGGTGTCCCTATGCCTCAAGGCTTATTTCTTACTCGTGTCAGTGATCTACTCTGTTATTTTCCTATCATTAGTCTTTCTATTCCACTTGGCTTTTAAATATATTCTTTGCTAATCATTCCATTTGTTTTCCATTATAAAACTCTGAATTTTTTATGACAAACCAGGTGACATCATTATAGTTTGTGGTTTGTTTATGTTTTTAATTGAAAGAACTACCACCCCTCCAAGGACCACCATCACTCCTTTGTCAGTTGGTTGTGCTTTAGTGGCTTGCAGGTTGCTGTGATGCTGGAAGTTATGCCACTATGTTTCAAATACCAGCAGGATCACACATGGTAGACAGGTTTCAGTGGAGCTTCCAGAATGACGACTGGGAAGAATGACCTGCCAATCTACTTCTGCAAAAAGTGGCCAGTGTAAACCTTACAGATAGCAGTGGAACATTGTATGATATAGGGTGAGAAGATGAACCCCTCAGATTGGAATGCACTCAGAATATGACTGGCTTCTGTAAACTTTCACCCAACTCACAATAAAAAGTTATTTAAGGAAGAAAAAATATATATATATCTGGAAAAGAGCTGCCTCCTCAAAATAAAGACGTGGATAGAGAAAAGCTTTCAGGACCTTCATTTGCTGGTGTGGCACAACTCAAAATGAGAAGAATCAGCTGCAAACATCCATTAATAATCGGAATGTGGAATGTACAAAGCATGAATCTAGGAAAACTGGAAATTATCAAAATGAAATAGAACACTTGAAGATAAGTGTACTAGGCATTAGTCACCTGAAATGAACTGCTATTGGCCATTTTGAATCAGACATTTATATGGTCTACTATTCCAGGAATGACAAGTTGAAGAAGAATGGCTTCACATTCATTGACAAAAAGAGCATTTCAAAATCTATCCTGAAGTACAATGCTGTCAGTGATAGGATAATATCAATATGTCTACAAAGAAGACCAATTAATTTGATTATTATTTAAATTTACACAGCAATCACTTAATAGCAAAGATGAAGAAATTGAAGGTTTTTACTGATTTCTGCAGTCCAAAATTGATCAAACATGAAATCCAGATGGGTTGATAATTGCTGGCTATTGGAACGTGAAAGCTGGAAACAAGAAAGATCAGTAGTGAGGAAAAGTTTCTTTGTGATAAAAATGACACCAGAGATCACATGATAAAATTTTATAAGACCAACCACTTATTCATTGGAAATACCTTGGAATATGGAAAAATCAATCCAACCACATCAGTGGAAAGAGATGATGGAGAAGCTCCACATCATCAGGCAGAGTAAGACAGGGGCAAACTATGAACAACTGTCAATTGCTCATATCCAAGTTCAGGTTGATGAAGAAAATTAAAACAAGTCTACAAGAGCCAGAGTACAACTTTGACTATATCCTACCTAAATTTAGAGACCCATGTCAAGTAGATTTGATACATTGAGCACTAATGACTGAAGACCAGACAAGTTGTGGGATGACATCAAAGGCATCATACATGAAGAAAGCGAAAGTCATTAAAAAGACAGGAAAGAAAGAAAAGACCTAAAGGAATGTCAGAAGAGATTCTGAAAGTCGCCCTTGAACATAGAGAAACTAAATCAAATGAAGAAATTATGAAGTAAAAGAGTTGAACAGAAAATTTAAAGGGTGGCTCAAGAAGACAAAGTAAAATGTTATAATGAAATGTGCAAAGACCTGGAGTTAGAAACCAAAAGGGAAGAACATGCTCAGCATTTCTAAAGCTAAAAGAACTGAAGGAAAAAAAATCAAGCCTTAAATTGCAGTATTGAAGGATTCTGTAGGCATAATACTGAATGATGAAGGAAGCATCAAAAGAAGATGGAACAAATACAGAGTCACTATATCAAAACAAAGGAGCTCTGGTAGCATAGTGCCTAAGGCAGTTGACTGCTAACCAGAAGGCTGTTGGTTCAAACCCACCAGCCACTCCTTGGAAGGAAGATGAGGCGATCTACTTCCGTAGTGATACTGTCTCGGAAACCCAAGAAGGGGTCTCTATGAGTCGGGTCCAACTCGATGGCACACAACAGCAACATATCAAAACAAATTGTTCTATGTTCAACCATTTTGGGAGGTAGCATATGATCAAGATATTGGGACTTCTTCTGAAGTCTAAGCTGCACTGTTGGCTTTGGACAAAAATGAGACTGTAACAAGGGTCTCCACCTTGACCAATGGGAGAAGGGAGGAGCTACCAAGAGCCTCAGGAACTGGGGCTGGGAGTGAGGGTAGGTAGAAGTGTTATTTGCCAGTTTATCATGCCCATTACACCAACTCTAAGGTTTTGGTTACTTCTAGTTCTGCTCTAACAGAAAATATCATAAATGGGTGACTTTAACAAACAGGGACTTATTCTCTTACAGTTGAGGAGGCTAGAAGTCCAAGTTCAAAGTGACAGCTCTAGGGCTGGGTAGAAGCCACTCAACCTTGGCCTTCAGCTCTTCTTGCTTCCAGCTCACTGAAGCTGGAGGCCTGTCTTAACTCAGGCAGCTGCTGGCTGCTGAGGCTGACAAACTCAAGGTTAAATGCAATGGCACAGTCCCAAGATTACCAAACAACATGCCAGGCCACTAGTTCAAGTCCAGAGACAGCCCCAAGGTTGGCAGAAAACATGGTGGACTGCTGAATGAAGACTCAGCTACATTCAGGGTCCAAACATGCCAAAACGCTCCAGAGACCTTTTTCAAGGCTGCTTCTTAAACACTGGAAGTAAACAACATCCCCAAAGCAGCTACTCAGCTGCTCCAATAGATTCCACCATGGACTTAATTACCAGTCTCATCATGAGGATTAACTACATCCAGCTGCTCAGCCACTCAAAATTAGACCCACAACTTAACTACCACACTTAATAACACTAGTGACTAAAGACACTGGTGGAAAAGCAAAGCTCCAAAATTGACAGATTACCAATTGAGATGTTTCAACAAACAGAAGTACTCCCTCTTCTATGATTGCAGCAGTACCTAGATAGAGAACTGCTGGAAAGTCAAACCAGATTCAGAAGAAGACATGGAATGGATTATATCATTGCTGATGTCAGATGGATCTTGGATGAAAGCAAAGAATACCAAAAAGATGTTTACCTGTGTTTTATTGACTCATCAAACACATTCAACTATGTGGATCATAACGAATTACCAATAACATTGCAAAGAATGGGAATTACAGAACACTTAATTGTGCTCATTAGGAACCTGTACATAGACCAAAAGGTACTTATTTAAGTGAAACAAGAGAATACCGCATGGATTAAAATCAAGAAAGGTGTGCATCAGAATTGTCTTTTCACTGTACTCCATCTGTATGCTGAGTTAATAATCTGAGAATCTGGGCTATAAGAAGAAGAATGTGACATCAGGATCGGAGGAAGACTCGTTAACAACCTGTGATATGCTGATGAAACTGTGAACCAAACCAAAACCAAACTCACTGCCATCGAGTCTGAAACATAGCGACCCCTCCTTGGGTTTCTGAGGTGGTATCACTACGGAAGTAGATTGCCCAACCTTCCTTCCCAGGAGCGGCTGGTGGGTTTGAATTGCCAGCCTTCTGGTTAGCAGTCAAATGCCTTAGGCGCTACACCACCTTGAAGAACCTACTGATGATGATCAAAGATTCCAGCCTTCTGTATGGATTATACCTCAACATAAAGAAAACAAAAATCCTCACAATAGACCAATAAGCAACATCATGATAAATGGAGAAAATATTAAAGTTGTCAAGGATTTCCGTTTACTTGGATCCACAATCAATGCCCATGGAAGCAGCAGTCAAGAAATCAAACAACGTATTACACTGGGCAAATCTGCTGCAAAAGACCTCTTTAAAATGTTCAGAAGCAAAGATGTCTCTTTGAGGACTAAGGTGTACCTGACTGAAGCTGTGGTATTTTCAGTCACTTTATATGCTGGACCATGAATATGGAAGAGTGAGGAAGAACTGATGCCTTTGAATTATGGTGTTGGTGAAGAATTTTCATTGTAGAATATTCATTTTATGAAAATGCCAGAAGAACAAACAAATCTGTTTTGGAAGAAGTACAACCAAAATACTTCTTAGAAGGGAGAATGGCAAGACTTCGTCTTCCATACTCTGAACATGTTATCAGTCAGAAGGGACTATTCATAGCCATTATACTTGGTAAAGTAGAGTCAGTGAAAAAGAGAAAGTGTACCCTCAATGAGATGGATTGACACAGTGGCTGCAACAATTGGCTCAAACACAGCAATGATTGTGAGGATGGTACTAGACCAGATTGTGTTTTGTTCTTTTGTACATGGGGTCACCATGAGTCAAAACTGACTGAACAGCAACTGACAACAACAGCAATCTCACTTATGCTGTTTCCAGGATGCCAGTGTACATACATTACTATAGTAGGCACTCAATAAATGGTAGCTAATTATTGTCTTTTTTTTTTAATTGCTGTTAATCTTCATCATATTCTACCTATGACCTTTATAATGAAACTCTCTTGAAGGTAAATTCTGTTTTTAAGAGTGTATTGTTTTTTCCTGTTGATAATTATTATGTTTGGTGCATTTAAGAAGCTCTGGTAGCATAGTGGTTAAAGCATTTGACTGCTAATCAAAAGGATGGTGGTCTGAACCTACTAGCTACTCCATGGGAGAAAGATGAAGCAGTCTGCTTCTATAAAGATTTACAGCCTTGGAAACCATATGGAGGCAGTTCTACTGTGTCCTAAAGTGTCGCTATAAGTTGGAATCAATTTGATGGCAGTGGTTTAGGTTTGTTTTTTTGTTGGCACATTTTATGAAAGTGGTAATTGTCTTGGTTATCTAGTGCTACTCTGACAGGAATATACCATAAATGGGATGGCTTTAACAAACAGGAGTATATTCTCACAGTTCAGGAGGCTTTAAGTCTGAGTTCAAAGTGCCAGGCCCTAGGAGCTGGGTTAAAGCACCTCAACCTTGGGCTTCAGCTCCACCCCCTTTTCCCAGCCCACTGGAGCTAGAGGCTTTTCTTCACCCAGACAGCTGCTGGCTGCTGAGGCTGACAAGCCCAAGGTTGACAGGTAAAAAGGCACAGTCCCAATGTTACCAAACCACACAGCAGGCCAGTAATTCAAGTACATTGAAAGTCCCAAGGTTGGCAGAGCATGGCAGGCTGCTGAACAACAACATGGCTGCATACAGGGTTCAAGCGTGCCATAAGCTAGAGACCATTCCCAAAGCTATTTCTTATATATGGGAAGCAGATCACATTCCTAACGCAGCTACTCAGCTGCTTGTGGTAGGTCCCACCATGGAGTTGATTGCCAGTCTCATCATGGGGAATAACTGCCACCAGCTGCCCAGCCACTCAACCAGGCCCAGCCAAGTTGACACACAAACTTAACCACCACAGTAATTGAGCCATCTTTCTGCCATTTATAATTTCAGTTTAGCTCTTATGTGCCATGATGAGGGAGAGGAGTGACACAAATCAGAATCTTTGAAAATATAATTTGTCTGAATAATAAATTTGTAAAATGTTTCTCTTTTTGAATAGCCACTTTTCCATGCTAATTATGCTATGTTTAGACTAAAACAAGTTTAATGTAAAAATAATTTACATTGTTTGAAAACATGAAAAATGATAGCAAAAGAAGTATGTTAGTGGCCAAAGAAAAATCACAATGGGATTAAATAAGAAGCACAACTTAATATACCAAGCTAGTTCCTTAATGTATTAGTTTATTTTATGCTTGAAATATTATAATTATTTGGATATAGGAAAGCTGGAGATTGGACAATTCTTGAAAAGATGAAGGACTGCCACTTCTTGCTCCACATTTCATCCTTTAAACCCCCCTCTAAGTGAATTGTACTGTGTGTCTTTGGGAGAGGTCACTTGTAATCCTACTGTTTTATGAAATCAAATATTTTTTCCCACAAGAATTTAAAAATAGCTATTAAATTTTTAGTCTAACCACTATGAAAATGTGTATGTCTTTCCAAGATTTTTTCAAAGTTGGCAGTATCTCATATGACTCTGGGCATAATTTGTTTTGAGGGTTCCTTTTTTCCATGAGTATTTAAAATAAACAGGTACTTGTTATTGAAATGGGAAAAAATAGCATTACTGTAATGTTGATATAACTAGTGCTGGAAAGAATCTTGCTAAGCAATTGGAAATAGTTTTCTAGTTTGTTAACTTGTTTAAGATTCCTAAGAACTATTTTTCTTTACAGCTTTCAGACATCAAATTCATTCTGAGATCAGTGTAGTCATTTCTAGGAAGTAACAAAAAGAATAGGTGTGATTTTGTGGTTCTCCTTAAGAGTTATTTTATACTGAAATGAATTGTTTATTGAATAATTTAAGTACCACTATAATTACTACATTAAAGTGAGTATTTGTATTGGTTAAAAATAATCTTCTGAGAAATCAGAATTCCTGTCCCCACTCATGGCTCTTTTTAACCATGTAGTTAGTACACAATAGCCCTTAAGTAGAGCAGTGTTGTGATCTAAGGACTCATGTGGTATTAAGATCTTCTCCATAATCTTTTAGCATTGTCTATAATATTATATCTATGTATGTAAAGCAAATGGAAGAAAAGATGAAGTAAAAGACCTGAACATGAGATTTTAAAGGGCAGTTGGAGAAGATAAAGTATTATAATAAAACGTACAAAGACTTAGAAAATCAAAGGGAAGAACATGTCAACATTTCTCAAGCTGAAAGAATTGAAAAAAAAATCAAGCATCAAGTTGCCATATTGAAGAATTCTGTGGGCAAAATATTGAACAATGCTGGAAGCAACGAAAGAAGATGGAAGGAATACACAGAGTCACTGTACCAAAAAGGATTGGTCAATGTTTAATCATTTCAGTCGGTAGCATAGATGAAGAGCTCGTGGTATTGAAAGAAGACATCCAAGCTGCACTGAAGGAATTGGCAAAAAACAATGCTCCAGGAGTTGTCAGAATTCTCAATGGGTATTGAGATGTTTCAACAAATGGATGTACCACTAGAGTCACCCAATCTTTTGTGCCAAGAAACTTGGAAGACAGCTACTTGGCTAACCAACTGGAAGAGATCCGTATCTGTGCCCATTGCAAAGAACAGTGATTCAACGAAATGCAGAAATTATTGAACAATATCATTAATATCACATGCAAGTAAAATTTTGCTGAAAATGATTCAAAAAAGGTTGCAGCAATACATTGACAGGGAGCTAATCTACTTTTAAACAGTTTGAAACTATGAAAAAAAAATCTTTTTATTTGTCTAGTGCTTTATTCTGCTTAAGTTTTTCCCTATTTATTTGCTGGACATCTTGTTGTGGTTTAGGTGAAAGTTTATAAAGCAAATTAGTTTCCCAATCAACAGTTTATATATAGTTTCATGACTTTGGTTTCAATCCTTTGATTTGTTAGAACCTCCCCGTTTCCACCCTCCCTTGCCCATTTCCATTCACCCATCTTTCCTGCCCCTTCTGCCTTTTGAATTTTGCTTTTGGGCAAATGCAGCCCTTTTGGTCTCATAGTTGAATGTTCTGTGGAGCCTGTTCCTCATTGGTGTTAATTGTTCACTTTACAGTCCTATCTATTTGGCTTTAAAGTGGTCTCTGGGAGTGGGTTCAGTTTCAGGCTTGAAGGGTATCTAAGGGTCATATTCTCGGGAGTTCCACCTGTCTCTATCAGACCAGTAAATTTAGTCTTTTTTTTATGAATTTGAATTTTGTTCTACCTTTTTCTCTTACTCTGTCTGGTACCTTCTATTCTCTCTATTTATTTATTATTTGAATTTTCTGTTAACAGATATTCCCTTCAGAGAGGTAGCTCCTTCACATTTTTAACACCTGGCCCCCATTGGGACTTCACTTTGGTGAGTAGAGACCACTTTTATTTCAAGGCATGGATAGAATTAATTCTTGAGTCATCTTTCAGTGTGGTGTAAAATTCGGTTGTGTGTACTTCTCTAAGTATCTTGAGGTACAGAGTTTCTATATAGCCATCTTTGGCAACCTAATTTAACCCTTTTCTTTTAACAAGCTACAAGGGATTTTTACTTCAAGTAAATATAAAATGTATTTTGAAAACTATTCAGAGCTATTAATCTTTAAGTCATTATGAAATCCTTTCACTTACCTACCATTGTTAAATTTAAGAAAATATGAAGTTGTTTTATTACATGTATTCTCTAATATTTTCTTAGTTGAAAAATATAAAAATGCTTGATTAAAGATAATTGGTGTAACGAATGAATGCTCTTCTGCTTTTAATCATCTCAGAATTGAGAGACTGCTCCATTATTATTAGAATGAGATTTACTGAGGCATCTAACTTTGGGTGAAGTGACAACTGAAAATTGATTCTTTTTTGTACTTAATAACTGTCCTTGTCTCTCTTTCTCTCCCTCTCTCTCTCTCTCTCTCTCTCTCTCTCTCTCTCTCTCTCTCTCTCTCTCTCTCTCTCTCTGTCACATATGTGTGTGTGTGTATATATAATTCTAAGTGTGTGTGTGTGTGTGTATATATATATATACACACACACACATATATATATATATATATATATATACACAATATATATACATATATATATAAACTAAGGAGCTTTGGTGGTGCAGTGCCTAAGGCATTTGACTGCTATCCGGAAAGTTGGTGGTTCAAACCCACCCAGCCACTCTGTAGAAAGAAAATGGTCAATCTACTTCTATAAAGATTTACTGCCTTGGAAACCCAATGGGGGCCGTTATAAGTCTGAATCTACTCTATGGCAGTGGGTTGGGTTTTTTTTTTATAAACTAAGTACGAATAGAACATGACCTTATATTTCTTTTATTTGGAGAAGATAGCAAAAATGATTGTTTTTAGAAGTGTATGTTTTGATGGTGTTCAGCAATACATACTTAATTTGTATTCTGGCTTTCTTTTGAGGATTTCTGTTAGAAATTTCTGTGTTATTATACCTATTACATCCATGAACAGGTCAGTTTAGCATTCTATCATGAGTCTCATGCTTTCAGTGCAATTTTGTTTTCCTTTGAGACTTTCCCGATCTTGATCCCTTTTGCTTACTGGTTGACCAGCACAAATACAAACAGAAAAACTTTGGAAGGGAACTATCTCCTAACTTTTTATTGCAAATCCTTGTGGTGCAGTAAATTACTTAATATGGCCTTTCTAGCCATAGTCTTTGTGACTCCCACACAGTGATTGGGTGGGACTATGTAAATAAAGTATTTGTGGCCCACCAAGGGGATTGGACAGCCTGCTAATAATACAAATAAGGTAGATGGAACCCCTGTGGCAGTATGACCATGAAAATAAGGTGTATGGAACCCTAATAAAAGGATTGGCCAGTTTTGCCATCTCACTAGGCTTAAAATGATCCATCCCAGGTGGATCCTTCCTCTTTTTAATTCCTCAGGGGGGAAGGGTGGCTGAAGGGAAAATCTAGTGGAGGAGCTGTGGAGCCCTTGGTCCTGAGACCTTGCTGAGTTACCATTGCCAAGTCCACCCTATTACCTCTGTTTGTGAGCGAGTCCTTGAAAGGAGAGGACCACTTCACTGATTTTTCCCCCTACGCCACTCTCTATATCCTTGGGGATGTTAGTATGGTAATTTGAATAAACTCTTCCCTTTCCCTGCAACTTCCCAAGAAGCCATGATTTTCCCAGCTACAATTTTTGTGATTCATTTCCCAAGAAGCTGTGATAGAGGAGACATGAAGTCTTATCTTAGAAACCAGGACCATAAAATAAACTGTATCCTAAGTGATGGAAACAGGCTTTTATGCCTCAAAAAAAAAAAAAGAAAAGAAAAAGAAAAACCCAGAGTGGAGCATGTCCTTTGGACCCAGGATCCCTGCACTAAGAACTACACCCAGGAGACAGAGAGACAGAGGTGGCAAGAAGCGGTGACAAGCACAGCAGAATACAGTGGCAGAGAAAGAACACCAGGAAACCTAAGTGAGATAGCTGTGGTGGGTTTCCTGGTCACTGAGTGAGGTGGCTATGCTGGGCATGCCAATCTCTGGAGTGAAAAAGCTGAGCACATTTGGGCAGGACGCTTGCCAAGAGAGTGGGGTGCTTCTGGGCACTGAGTGGCAGAACTAAAAGAACTTTGTAACACTTGCCAAAGCAGGCAGAGGCCAGGTGAAGGCCCAAGAGGAGCCTGTCCTGAGGGAGGCCAAGAGGAACCTTGCACAGGCAAGAGGAGTCGGGCAAACTGTCCTGCACTGAAGAAGGGAGGTTTTGCTTACATGCTTCCTGATCCTGACCCCTAGTTGATCCTGATCCCAACTTGTAACCTGGTGTTATTTGTTAAATGCCATTGAGTTGGTTCCAACTCATGTTGTTGTTATCTCATAGAGACCCTGTGTATAACAGAATGAAACATTGCCCAGTCCTGCATCATCCTCACAGTCCTTGCTATGTTTGAGCCCAACATTGTAGCCACTGTGTCAATCCATCTCATTGAGGGTCTTCCCCTTCTATGCTGGCCCTCTTCTTTGCCAAGCATGATATCCTTCTCCAGAAAATGGTCCCTTCTGACAATATGACCAAAGTAGGTAAGACAAAGTCTGGCCATTCTCACTTCCAAGGAACATTCCAGATGTACTTCTTCCAGGACAGATTTGTTCATTATTCTGGCAATCCATGGTATTTTCAATATTCTTTGCCAACACAATTCAAATGAATCAACTCTTCTTTGGTCTTACTTATTCATTATCCATCTTTCACATGCATACGAGGCAATTGGAAATACCTTGGCTTGGGTCAGGCTCACCTCAGTCTTCAAGGTGACATCTTTGCTTCTTACCATTTTAAAAAAATCTTTTGCAGCAGAATTCCATCCTCACCTCAAGAAGTATTCTGGCTGTACTTATTCCAAGACAGATTTGTTCATTCATCTGGCAGAAAAAACCCACCAAACCTCCTGCCATTGAGTCGATTTCAACTCATAGCGACCCCCATTGGGTTTCCGAGGCAGTAAATCTTTATGGAAGTAGATTGCCCAGTCTTGCTTCCACCAAGTGGCTGGTGGAATTGAACCACCAACCTTCTGGTTAGCAGTCAGTTGCCTCAGGCACTGTGCTATATTCAGTATTCTTTGCCAGTATAATAATTCACACACATCAATTCTTCTTCAGTCTTCCTTATTCGTTGTCCAGTTTTCGCATGCATATGAGACACTTATGACAAGTACACCTTAGACATCTTTGGTCTTTAACACCTTAAAGAGGTCTTTTGCAGCAGATCTGCCCAATGCAATTTCCTGATTATTGTTTCCATGAGTGTTGATTGTGGATCCAAGTAAAATGAAATCCTTGACAACTTCAGTCTTTTCTCTGCTTATTATGATGTTGCTTATTGGTCCAGTTCTGAGAATTTTCATTTTCTTTATGTTGAGGTGGAATCCATATTGAAGACTGTAGTCTTTGATCTTCATGAGTAAATGCTTCACGTCCCCTTCACTTTTAGCAAGCAAGGTTGTGTATCTGCATATCACAGGTTGTTAATGAGTCTTCCTCCAATCTTGATGCCATACACTTCTTCATGAAGTCCAGCCTCTCAGATTATTTGCTTAGCATACAAGTTGAATGAATATGGTGAAAGGATACAACCCTGACCTACACCCTTCCTGATTTTACACCATGCAGTATCCCCTTGTTCTGTTCAAATGACAGCCTCTTCATCTATGGATAAGTTCCTCATGAAAACAATTAAGTGTTCTGGAATTCCTATTCTTTGCAGTGTTTTTTTATTGACAATACAAAGGCATTGTATGGTTGTGTGACTCATGAGTCACACAACCATACAATGCCTTTGTATTGTCAATAAAACACAGGTAAACATCTTTCTGATATTCTATGCTTTCACCCAAGATCCATCTGACATCAGCAATGATATCCCTTATTCCATGTCCTCTTCTCAATCCAGCTTGCATTTCTGAAAGTTCCTTATCAATATACTGCTGCAACCATTTTTTAATTATCTTCAGGATTTTACTTGCAGGTAATATTAATGATATTGTTCAATAATTTCCACATTCTATTGGATCACATTTCTTTGGAATAGGCACAAATATCAATCTCTTCCAGATAGTTGGCCAGGTAGCTAGCTGTCTTCCAAATTTCTTGGCATAAATAGGTAAGCATCTCCATTTAAATGGGTATTCCATCAATTCCTGGAGCCTTGCCTTGTTTTTCACCAATTCCTTCAGTGCAGCCTTGACTTATTCCTTCAGTACCATTACTTCTTGATCATATGCTACCTCCTGAAATAGTTGGACATAGACCAATTCTTTTTGATAGAGTGACTGTATGTATTCCTTCCATCTTCTTTTGATGCTTCTGGTATCGTTCAATATTTTGCCCATAGAATCCTTCAATATTGCAACTCAAGGCTTGAATTTTTTCTTCAGTTCTTTCAGCTTGAGAAATGCTGAGTGTGTTCTTTCCTTTTCATTTTCTAACTCCAGGTCTTTGTACATTTCATTAAAATACTTTACTTTGTCTTGTCAAGCTGCCCTTTGAAATCTTCTGTCTAGTTCTTTTATTTCAGCATTTCTTCCATTCAGTTTAGCTACTCTACATTCAAGAGCAAGTTTCAGAGTCTCTTCTGACATCCATTTTGGTATTTTCTTCCTTTCATGTCTTTTTAATGATCGTTTGCTTTCTTCAGGCATGATGCTCTTGATGTCATCCCACAACTCGTCTTGTCTTTGGTCATTGGTGTTCAACATATCAAATATTTTCTTCAGATGGTCTCTAAATTCAGGTGACATATAATCAAGGTTGTATCTTAGCTCTCATGGACTTATTTTAATTTTCTTCAACTTCAATTTAAACTTGTTGTTGTTGTTGTTTGCCATCGAG